AGGTCACCATGGAGGTCAACATGGAGGTCAACATGGGATCACCATGGGGGTCAACATGGGGGTCACCATGAGGTCACCACAGAGCTGCCATGGGAGTCACCATAGGGACACCAAGGGGACACCGTGAGGGTCACCACCAGGGTCACCATGGGAGTCACCATAGGGACACCATGGGGGACATCATGGAGGTCACCACAGTCACCATTGGGGACACCATGGGGCTACCACAGAGGTCACCACGGGGTCACCACCATGGTCACCATGGAGGTCACCACCAGGGTCACCATGGTCACCATGAGGACACCATGGGGGTCACCATGGGGGTCACCACCAGGGTTACCATGGGTACATGACCAGGGTCATCACAGGGACACAACTGGGACACCACAGGGTCACCACGGGTACACCAGCATCCCCCCACCCCGAGGGACCCCATGGTGTCCCCTCCCTGACCTCGGTGACGATGGTGTCGCTGAAGATGCCATCCAGGTACGTCCATCCGTCGTGGCACGGCTCGGTGGCCGCCTCGGTGCCGTTGGCCGAGCCGTTGACGTCCAGCAGGTGCCACTGGGGCTCCACGTAGCGGCGGCAGCTCTGCGGCCGGCGCCGCCCGTCCCGGGGGATGGACGCCGCCAGGGGCACCTCGGTGGCGTTGGCCGCGGGCCGCGGCCGGCAGTGGTGCTCGGGGACGCCGGCCGTGAAGTTCTGCAGGAGGTTGTGGCTGGCCAGCATGAGCAGGGGCACGGCCAGCGCCGCCACGTAGGTCACCTGGAAGCGGCCCATGCCACCCAGGCGGGACAGCAGCTCCACGAAGGACATGGCCGGAGAGGGACGGAGATGGACAGGGCACTGGTCAGCTGTGGGTGGGGAGAGGAGGAAACGGGGAGGGATGGTCAAAGGGTGGTCAGGGAATGGCCAAAGGGTGGTCAGGGAATGGCCAAAGGGTGGTCAAGGAATGGTCAAAGGGTGGTCAGGGAATGGCCAAAGGGTGGTCAAGGAAGGGCCAAAGAGGTGGTCAGTGGATGGTCAGAGGGTGGTCAGGGAATGGACAGACCCAGGGATGGACCAAGGGAGGGTCAGGAGAGGTCAAGGATGGTTTGGGTGGTCAGCAGAGGAGTGACCAAAGGATGACCAAGGAGTGACCAAGGGGTGACCAAGGGGTGACCAAGGGGTGAGGGAGGAGGATGAGGGTTGGTCCCAGGCGTGGAGGAAGGGCCAAGGGTGGATGGACGACAGAGGACGGTTCCCAGAACAGCACAAGGACCCTCTATTGATCACCTATTGATTGCTCAATCAATCAATCAATTTATTGGTCTATCAGATGGATAAAGCAATGTGTTAATAGATTGATCCATCCCTTGATTAGCAGATTTCTCTATCAGTCTGATTGATCAATCTGCTGACCAATCTGTCAATCTATTGATCTCTATTGATCTATCTATTGATAGATCAGTCTATCAATCTGTCTCTCTAATCTATCAATAGATTGATCCATTATCTATTCATCAATCCACCCATCACTGACACTCTCACTTTATCAATCAATTAATCAATCACTGATCATTTCGTCCTCTCAGCTCCCCCCTATCCCTTCCCAATCAATCAATCAATCAATCAATCAATCAATCCTCTCTCCCCCATCCCACCAACCCCTCAGATCCCTCACGATCAATTGATCCCCACCTGCTCTGCTCTTCCTCCTCCTCCCTCGGCCACTCCGGCTCCGGACTCTGGGGACTGTCCGGGCTCTCCGGCCGTCGCTCCGTCCCTCTGTCCCTCTGTCCGTCCCTCTGTCCCTCTGTCCCTCTGTCCCTCTGTCCCTCTGTCCCTCTGTCCGTCCCTCTGTCCCTCTGTCCCTCTGTCCCTCTGTCCCTCTGTCCGTCCCTCTGTCCCTCTGTCCGTCCCTCTGTCCCTCTGTCCCTCTGTCCCTCTGTCCCTCTGTCCCTCCGTCCGTCCGGCCGTCCCTCTGTCCCCCTGTCCCTCTGTCCCTCTGTCCGTCCCTCTGTCCCTCTGTCCCTCTGTCCCTCCGTCCGTCCCTCTGTCCCCCTGTCCCTCTGTCCCTCTGTCCGTCCCTCTGTCCCTCTGTCCCTCTGTCCCTCTGTCCCTCTGTCCCTCTGTCCGTCCCTCTCTCCCTCTGTCCCTCTGTCCCTCTGTCCCTCCGGCCGTCCGGCCGTCCCTCTGTCCCTCCGGCCACCCCTCCCTCGGCCCCGCCCCCCCCGGCCCCTCCTTCACCTCCCCCCGGTCAATCGATCAATCCATGGATCAATGGATTTCTCTGCTCTCTCTGCCCGTTTATTGATCCTTAGCTGATCAACAAATTGATTTTCTGCTGATAATCAAACTATTGATCGATCTCTGCTTCCCTGCCGATCAATCCAGTGAGTTCTTTCCCTGTTGATAAATTATTGATCACTAGACTCCCCTTATCTATAATAGGTTGATCATAATTAGTCCACGATCTTTTTATTAGTTTATTGATCCATATGTTTCTGTTATTGATCTATTGAGATATTGATTGATCTGTTAATCTACTGATGGCTTGATCGATCAATCTATTATTCTGTGGGGATCTCTATTGATCCATCTGTTAGTCTGTGTATCTCTAGCACCAATAAATTAATCTCTAAACTATTAATTGATCATACAATTGGTCTCTATTTTTCTATTGACGAATCTATTGGACCATAATCGACCAATCAGAATAATGATCTCCTTCTCCATCAATCCTTCTGATTGATCCTAACTGATCATCCTAATGATCCAGTTATTGATTTATAATCTATTATCAATGTGTCAATATTAACCTCTCTATTGATCAGCCCCTTGGCCTGTAATCTTCCTATTGATTGATTGATTGACCTTTAATTTCTCTTTTGATTGATTTGCTGACCTTTAACCCCTCTATTGGCTGATTTATTTATTTCAATCTCTCTATTGATCAACCTCCTGATCCATAATCTCTCTATTGATCAGCCCTTCTCTCCATCGATCGATTATTGATCTCTGATCTCTCTCCTGACCTCGCTGGGCTCTCTGTGACCCATTGATCTCTCTATAATCTCTGTATTGATCAACCTCCTGACCCATAATCTCTCTATTGATCAGCCCTTCCCTCCATCGATCCATCTATTGATCTTTGACCTCGCCGGGCTCTCTGTGACCCATCGATCTCCGTATTGATCACTGATCACTCACCTGTGGGGCACTCCCGCTCACTCCTGGCCTCTCCCAGCTCCAGATCCCGGTCCCGGAGCCCTCCCGGCCGTCACCACCCCATGGCCCTGCCCTGCCCCCGGCCTGGCCCCGCTCCTATTTAACCGGTCCCGGTTAACGTTTGACTCCGGACCCGCCATGGATCGCCGGAGACGCTCCCGGGCCGGAAATGCCGGTGCCGACCACGCCGGGCCCACCGGGGACGCCCGGGGGCTGCCCCTTCATCCCACCCGGCCCATCCTCATCCTCGCCCCGGGAGCCCCCCGGCTGTGGCAGACGGGGACCCCCGGCCCCCTCCGGGCCCCCCCGGGGTGGATCATTGATGAGGAAAAGTCCCGGGGGCTCTGACCCGCGGCGTGGGAGCCCCTTGGACCCCGGGCAGGAGGGCGGCGGGGCAGCGGAGCGTGGGGGGACGGGGGGAGCCGGACACCGGGACTGGCGCCAGCCAGGTGTGAGGACACGTGGATTCCCGGGATCTCTGCGGACTTCTGGGACATCTGGGACATCTGGGTCAGTGACATCCCTGAGCCCTCAGAATGCCGGGATCCTCGGGATCTCTGGGGACTTCTGGGACATTTTTGTGCCCTCAGAATGTGGGGTCCTTGGGATGCTGGGGTGGTCTGGATCCCTGGGATCCCGGATCCCTGGACACTCAGGGTTCTGGGTCCTTGAGATCATCAGCCTCGTTGGGATCCCCGAGTCCTGGAGATCCCTGAGCTCCTGGGATGTCTGGACACCCTGTGCCCGGATCTTGTGTCCCTGGGATCCAAACACCTGAATTCTTGGGGTTTGGGTCTTTGGGGTGTCCAGGAACAGGGTCTGTGGGAACTTGGGATCCCCAGACACCTGGACATGAGGATTTTTGGGGTCCCCAATTGCCGTGATACCTGATCATGGGGATCCCAAATCCCCGAGGTCCCCAAATCCTGGGGTCCCCAATCCCCAGGATCCCAAATCCTCAGGGTGCCCAATCTTTGGGATCCCAGATCCTGAGGATTCCCAATCCTCAGGATCTCCAGTTTCAGCATCCCTGATCCTCAGGACCCAGATCCTCGAGATCCCAAATCCCCAGGATCCCCAATTTTGGGATCCCCAATCCTCAGGATCCTTGATCCTGGGGTCCCCAGTCCCTGGAATCCCAGATCCTTGGGATCCCCAATCCCCAGGATCCCAAATCCTCGGGATCCCAAATCCTCAGGATCCCCAATTTTGGAATCACAGATCCTCAGGATCCTTGATCCTGGGGTCCCCAGTCCTTGGGATCCCAGATCCCCGTGATCCCAAATTTCAGGATCCCCAATCCCTGTGATCCCTGATCCTGGGGATCCCCAATCCTCGAGATCCCAAATCCTCAGGATCTCCAATTTTGGGGTCCCCAATCCTCGGGATCCCAAATCCTTGGGATCCTAAATCCTCAGGATCCCAAATCCCTGTGATCCCCAATCCCTGTGATCCCCAATCCTCGATATCCCAGCTCCTTCCCTCCCGGCCTTGTCCATCCCCGGCAGCTCCGGCCGTGGGGGAGGGGCCGGGGGGGTGGGTGGGGGAGGGGCCGGGGGGGTTCCCGCGGTGCCGATCCACAATTTCCCGCTGTTTCCCGCTGTTTCCCGCTGTTTCCCGCTGTTTCCCGCTGTTTCCCGCTGGTTCCCGCTGGTTCCTGCTGGTTCCCGTGTTTTCCTTCGGGGCGGGCCCGGCCCGGCTGTGCGGGACCCCCCGCGGCCGTGGGAAAACAACCCCACCCCCACCCCCACCCCCACATTTCGCTCGAGTTTTGCTTTTATCGGTTTTTATTCCAGCATGGCCGAACCGTCCTCGATGTGGAGATTTGGGGACCCCAGCGTCCCCCCAATCCACACGGAGGGGGCGGCTGGGTCCTTGTGGTCACTGCTGTCCCTCTGCTCTTCATGAAGCTCCTCCAACCCCAAATCTGCTCGTTCGTCCATCAGGAGCAGCGAGGGATGAGGGTTTTGGGGTGCCCCGGTGGGGGTGGCACTAACGGGGCCCTGTGGAGTTGCTGGAGGGGTTGGGCTGGAGAGGGACCTGGAGATGTCGGGATTCGTCCTTGTGGGATCGTGTCCTGGTGGGGAGGGAGAGATGAGGGGTTGGAGGGAACAGGGCAGGGTTTGTGGTGCTGGGATGGACATCCGTCCATCCTTCCATTCTTCTTTCCATCCATCCATCCATCCATCCATCCATCCATCATCCACCCATCAATCATCCATCCACCATCCATCATCCATCCATCCATCATCCATCCATCCATCATCCATCCACCATCCATCATCCATCCATCATCCATCATCCATCCATCCATCCCCATGTTCAACCACCTTCTCTATCTCTGTCGCTCCCCACCCTCCATCCCATCCCATCCCATCCCACCCCCCATCCATCTCTGTCCCTCTCCATCCTCACCTTCCCTCCACCTCCTCCACGGTCTCGGGCAGGGCCACGTTCCGCGTCTCGGGCAGGAAGGCGGCCACCAGCCCCGAGACCACGGGCGCGGCGCCGTAGATGACGAAGGGCAGCGCCGGGAACAGCTCGCCCGCCATCTTCACCAGGGGCGCCATGATGCTGCCCAGCCGCGACATGGTGTTGGCCATGCCCATGCCCGTCTGCCTGTGGGACACGCAGAGCTCCTGAGGCCACCTGAGGGACCACCTGAGGGACCACCTGAGGGACCATCTGAGGGGACAGCTGAGGGGACAGCTGAGGGGACAGCTGAGGAACCACCTGAGGGACCACCTGAGGGGCCAGCTGAGGGAGCACCTGAGGAACCATCTGAGGAACCACCTGAGGGAGCACCTGAGGAACCATCTGAGGAACAACCTGAGGGACCATCTGAGGGACAACCTGAGGAACCACCTGAGGAACCACCCGGCCACGTCCCCTCCTTACCGGATCACGGTGGGGTAGAGCTCGCCCGTGTAGAGGAAGACGCAGTTGAAGGACGCGGCCAAACAACCTTTGCCAAAGACGGCCAGGGCTGTCCGGAGTGTCCGGAGGTCTGCAGGGACAGAGGGACACCCGGGAGTCACCTCAGTGTCCCCACTTGACAAGAGAAGACCCGAAACATCAGGATTTGGGGCAAATCCCCCATAAAAAGCTAAAATGACCCAACCTGAGGGGTTCCATCAATGGGTTGAGGTTGTCTGGGCCCTCCCCGGGAGGTTGGAGATGAGGGGACACCACTGCCACCACCCCAGGTCTCACCTCGTGGCACCAAGACGTTGGCCAGGATGGCCAAGCCGGCCAGGATGAGCGCGGCGGCCTGGGTGAAGCGGCGCCCCACGTAGGTGATGGTGAGGATGGACACCAGCTTGGCCGGGATGTCCACGGCGCCAAAGATCAGCTGGATCACGTAGATGTTGAACTCAAAGTTCTGCAGGTCCATGGCCAGCCCGTAGTAGGCGAAGCTGGTGGAGAACCTGCACCATGAGGGAGGAGAGGGGGTGAAAATGTCACCTGTGGGGAGGTGTGGGGTGGCACGGGGGCGTCAAGGACGTGGAGGGGATGGACAACCACCCACTGGTGTCCTCCACCGCCGGCCGTACCACACGAAGCAGAGGCAGAAGGAGACGCGGCGCAGGACCGGCGTCCGGACCAGGTCAACCACGGTGTGGCGGGTCTTGGACGACGTCATCTCCTTCTCCATGTGGGACTTCAGGGTCTGGAGGGACATGGGAGGTCTGGGATGGGGGTGGGACACTGGGGACCCTCTCGTAGCTGGGCAGGTCTGGGCAGGACCGGTGGAAGAGTGGGTGGGTGGTGGAATGGAGGTGGTGGATTCATGGATGGGTGAAGGGATGGATGGGATGGGTGGAGATGGAGGACATGGAGATGATGGATGTCATTGAGATGATGAAGATGAGTGGATGGATGGACAGGGGTGATGGACACACTGATGGACAGCATGGTGGTGGGATGGAGGTGGTGGATTCATGGATGGGTGAGGGAATGGAATGGGATGTGTGGAGATGGAGGAGATGATTGATGTCACTGAGATGATGAAGATGAGTGGATGGATGGACATGGTGAGTAAGGGATGATGGACACAGTGACCATGGATGGACAGCTGTCCATGGGGTGGACATTCAAGGGACCCCAATAAAACACCCCAGGGACACCCTGGGGCACCCGATGGAGATTTTTACTTCTATGTCGAGCTTGTCCCCTTCCTCCTTCTTCCCGTTGATCCTGGCCACCTTCTGGAGCTCCCGCAGGGCCTGGTGGGGCCTCCCCACCATGACGAGCCACCGCGCCGACTCCGTCAGCCACCTGCACGGGAGGGGACAGAGCAGGAGCCCAAGTATGGTCACTGTCCCACCTCAATCCCACCAGCAACATCTCCCTGTCCCTCTGGTCATCACACCATGTCTTCACTGTCCACCCAGCCATTCCTGGATGTTCTCTTCATACTTTCCTTCTACTCACCTTCTATGCACACTCCACTGCTCCATCCATGCCACCAACACATAAGTCCAGCTGTCCATCCCCCCATCCATCCATTGATTGCCCATCCACCCATCCATCCATCATCCATCCATCCATGGATCCATCCATCCATCCATCATCCATCCATCATCCATCCATCATCCATCCATCCATCCATCCATCCATCCATCCATCCATCATCCATCTCTCCATCCATCATCCATCCATCATCCATCCATCCATCCATCCATCCATCATCCATCCATCCATCCATCCATCCATCCATCATCCATCTCTCCATCCATCATCCATCCATCATCCATCCATCATCCATCCATCCATCATCCATCCATCCATCCATCATCCATCCATCATCCATCCATCCATCCATCCATCCATCATCCATCCATCCATCCATCCATCCATCCATCCATCATCTATCCATCCATCCCTCCCTCCTCCTCCTCACCAGGAGTAGAGGAAGAAGCCGAAGAAGGGCAGGGACACCACGAGCTGCAGCTGGCGCCAGTCGGGGACGGCAAAGGCGACGCCGGCCAGCAGGAACTGCCCGACCGTGTAGCAGTAGCCCATGAAGGTGCCCACCAGCGCCCGCATGTGCATCGGCATCCACTCCAGAGCTGTGGGACACGGCACGTGGGGACCTCCTGGGAGATCCCACCGGCACCCCAGGGGACAGGGAGACCACCGGGATGGTGCCCAGGGGACACGGAGACCACGGGGATGGTGCCCAGGAGAAGGAGAGACCACCGGGATGGTGCCCAAGGGACACGGAGACGACCAGGGTGGTGCCCAGGGGACATGGAGACCACCGGGATGGTGCCCAGGAGATGGGGAGACCACTGGGATGGTGCCCAGGGGACATGGAGCCCACCAGGATGATGCCTGGAGGACATGGAGACCACCGAGGTGGCTCCCACAGGTTCAGGGGGACACGAAGCCCACCAGGATGGTGCCCAGGGGACACAGCCACCACCGAGATGGCTCCCACAGGTTCAGGGGCACACGGACACCACCACGATGGCTCCCACAGGCTCAGGGGCACACGGAGCCCACCCAGGTGGGCGCCCAGGGGTGACGTACACAGGGAGACGCTGTTGAGGACGATGCCCGAGAAGGCCATGCCCGTCAGGAAGCGGAACAGGCAGTACACGCTGAAGGTGGGCGCGAAGGACGAGCAGGTGCCCATGGCGGCCATCTGCAGGTAGCACCAGGTGAGCACCAAGCGGCGGCCGAACCTGGGCGGGGACAGTGAGGAGGAGGAGGAGGGGGAGGAGCAGGGGGTGAGGATGAAGAAATGGGGGCAGAGGAAGAGGAGGAAGAGGAAGAGAAGGGAGGAGAACATGGAGAGAGCGAGGAAACAGGAAGGATGAAGAAGAGGGCAGGGGAAGGAAGAGGGGATGAAGAAGAAGAGTGTGAGGAGGAGGAAGAGGAAGAGGAGACAAGAAGGATGAAGAAGGGGACGGGAAGGAAGCGGGGATGAAGAGGAGGGGGGTGAGGAGGAGGAAGAGAGGTGAGGAAGGTGAGGAGGAGGAGCAGGGGGCGAGGATGAAGAAGGAGGCAGGGGGAGGAAGAGGGGTTGAGGAGGAAGAGGGTGAGGAGGAGGAAGAGAGGTGAGGAAAATGAGGAAGAGAGATGAGGAGGTGAGGAGAAAATGGAGATGAGGAGGAGGAAACAAGGAGGATCAAGAAGGTGGCAGGGGAAGGAAGAGGGGGTGAAGAGGAGGAAAAAGGGGTGAGGAAGAGGATGTGGAAGGTGAGGAAGAGGGTGAGGTGAGGAGAAAAAGGGGATGAGGAAGAAAAAGAGGGTGAGGAAGAGGAGGAGGGAACGAAGATGAGGCAGAGGAGGTGACAGGACCCCCCCGGTGCCACCCCACCTGCCAGGGCCCCCCTCACCTGTCCGAGAGCCCCCCGAAGACGCCGCCCACCAGGACCCCGGCCATGTAGAGCGACTGCGCCAGCTGCTTGAGCCCCCGCGAGCTGCACACCAGGTCCCACTGCCGAGGGGCACGCGGTGGGACAGAGGTCAGGGTCCCCTCTGTCCCCCCAGACCCCAAAACCACCCGTGGTGGCCATGGGTGGTCATGGAGGTCCATGAATGACCACCCATGGAGGTCAGTGAATGGCCAATGGAAAGGAGGCAATGAATGCATGGCCACCCTTGTCGGCATTGTCATGGTTGGAAGGTCCACCCAAGGGTCCTGTGACCGCCTTGTGACCCCCTTGTGACCCCTTGTGACCCCCTTGTGGATGGCCACCACCTCCCCATCCCTCCCTTCCCCTCCTGGGCCTTCCTGGTGTTGACATCTCCACCAAAGGTTGAGCATGGAAGATGCTCCAGCTGGGAGTGGTCAATGCCGTGTTGGCACCTCCAGGTGGGACCCACCCATGGAATTGAGTGGAAAGCCCACCAGACCCCCCCAAAACCCCTCAAAGCCTGCCAGATCCCCCCAAAACCCTTCAAAACCCACCAGACCCTCCCAAACTGCTTCCTGGGGCTTCCTGGTGTTGACATCTCCACTGAAGGTTGAGCATGGAAGATGCTCCAGTTGGGAACGGTCAATGTCGTGTTGGCAGCAGACCCTTCATTGGTACCTCCAGGTGGATCCCATGCATGGAATTGTGTGAAAAACCCACCAGACACCCCCCAAACCCTCCCACCACCGTCCCACCTCGGTGATGATGGTGCTGGTGAAGGCGCTGCGGTCGTAGCTCCAACCATCCCCGCACGGCTCCGTCTCCGGCCAGGAGCTGTTGGTGGCCTCCGAGCCGTTGGTGTCCAGAAGCCACCACTGGGGTGTCACAAAGCGCCGGCAGCGCTCCCCGCGGGGCACCCAGACCCTCAGCAGGGCCTCGGCGTCCAGGCCGGTGGCGTTGGCCCCGGGGCGCGGGCGGCACCAGTGGTCGCTGGTGGCCGCGGTGAAGTTCTGGAGAAGGTTGTGGCTGGCCATCATCAGCACGGGCAGGGACAGCAGCAGCACCGAGAGCACCTGGAAGCGCCCCATGCCGCCCACGTGCTCCAGGAGGCTGGCGAAGGCCATCTCGCCGCCACCGCCACCGCCGCCGGGGCCGGGCAACGCCCCACAGCCATGCAGAGCCCCAGATTTCAGGGGTTTCGCCCCAAAAGTGCCTCCCCGCGCCGCGCGGTGTCCTCCCTCCAGCAGCACCCTGGGGTGGGCTCCTATATAACCCAGGCCGAGGGTGGGTTGGGTTAATGTTTGACATCTCTGGGGGGTTTTTGGTGGCTTTCCAGCAGGAGAAGGCAAAAGTGCAGCGCAAAGGTGTCCGGGGTAAAAACAAAAGGTGTTTTCGGGGCAAAAGTCCCCCAAAGTGGGGCAAAACTGGAGCGATTTGGGGCAGGAAGACAAGGAACACCTCATTTATTTTAATTATTATTTCACAGCGTTGCATTTTGAGGGGAAAAGTCAGGTTTTGGAGAGCGGCCGTCCAGCAGGTTGGGTGGCACCAGGGTGGGCACCACAAGGAGAGGAGGTCTCCTGGCACGGACCAATGTCCGGCCTCCGGCGGCGCCTTTGGGTTAAATTTTAGCGATTTCAGTGGTCAAAAGGCGACGGAAAGGTGCTGACGGAGGTGGCCCTGCCCGGGTCAGCGCATTCCCCACCGAGGGTTAATTTTTGATGGGGACTTGATGGGGCCAAGGGACACGTCAGGAATGGGAGCAAGGGCCGGGGTGGCCTCGGGGGACGGAAATCGGGGAAGGGGCATCGGGAGGGGGCGGGGTGGGGTTTGGGTGGGGCTTCTCCAGATCCTCTGGGATTTGGGGGCACCTCTGCTAGGAGAAGAGGTTTGGGGTTATTTGGGATGGTCTTCTTGGAGGTTTGGGGTCATTGAGGATGGTCTTGGTGGAGGTTTGGGGTCATTGAGGATCCTCTTGTTGGAGGTTTGGGGTTATTGAGGATGGTCTTGGTGGAGGTGATATCCAGCGTGGTGTTCTTGGTGCCACCTTATCTGAGGTGACTTTGGGGACACGGTTCTTGGGCAGCGTCCTATTGGATGAGGTTATGAGGTGTCACTAAAAATGGGGGTTTAGGTGCCACCTCATCGATGGACAAGGTTGTGGGGTGTCCTCCTGTGGAGATGACCTCCAAAAAAAGGGGTGCTGGGTTGTCCCCTCCCTGAAGTGACCTCAGGGACACAATTCCTGGGCATTGTCCCATAGGAGGTGACCTCAGATGTGGGTGTTGGGGTGACCTGGGGGGGCACAGATGAGACCCCGAGACGTGTCCCCACCAGAGCTGTTTTATTCCTGCCCAGATGTCCCCACCCCAACAGGAGGTCCCAGGACACGACCCAGGTGTCCCCCTCCAGCTGTGGGGACCCCTGGGGTCGCTGGTGGTCGCTGGTGGCCGGGGCTGGGGGGCTGCGCCCACCCCCAGGGTCCCTCAGGGCTCCTTCAGGGGGGGCCCGTCCTGGGGCTGGAGCGCGATCTTCTCCTTGGGGTCACCTGCTGGCTTCTGCTTGGTCCTGCAGGGATGAGGAGGAGGAGGAAGAAAGTCATGGTCTGGGGAAAGTGACCCAGGCTGAGCATTCAGCCAATCACAGAGCTCGTTCTTCTGCCAATGTCTCCATCCACCTGTCCCTCAATGCAGCCAGGTGTCCCTTGACCCTGAACCTCTTAGTGGTTGGGGTTGTCCATCATTGTCCATCATCCATCGATTGTCCATCATCCATCCATCCATCCATCCATCCATCCATCCATCCATCCATCATCCATCCATCATCCATCCATCCATCATCCATCCATCCATCATCCATCCATCCATCATCCATCCATCATCCATCCATCCATCATCCATCCATCCATCATCCATCCATCCATCATCCATCCATCATCCATCCATCATCCATCCATCCATCCATCCATCATCTATCCATCATCCATCCATCATCCATCCATCCATCATCCATCATCCATCCATCCCTCACCCATCCATCCATCCATCATCCATCCATCCCTCACCCATCCATCCCTGTCCCCACCTGTTCTCCACCTCCTCGATGGTGTCGGGCAGGGGCGTGTTGAGGGTCTCGGGCAGGAACGCGGCCGCCACGGCCGCCACCACGGGGGCCACCCCATAGACGGCGGGCGGGAGGAAGGGGTAATACTCGTCCATCATCTTCACCAGCGGCGCCACGATGCCGCCCACGCGCGCCATGGTGCTGCCGAAGCCCAGCCCCGTCTGCCTGCGGCGCCGGGAGGGTCATGGGGGGCACGGGGCGCCCGGGAGTGTCCGGGGAGGGGGAACGGGGACATGTCCCACCCTGGGGACGCGGGGACGCGGTGGTACCTGATGGGCGTGGGGTAGAGCTCGGTGGTGTAGAGGAAGACGCAGTTGAAGGAGGCGGAGAGGCAGCCCTTGCCGATGACGGCCAGCGCCGTGCGCACCGTCTGCAGCTCTGCGGGGACATGGGGACACCGGGACATGGGGACACCCAGGTTGGGGGACACGGCGACACCGGGGCTTGACCACCACGTGGGGACATCTCGGGCAGGTGGGGATGAGGTCATTGGTTGGACACAGGGATGGAAACGTGGAGGAAGACACAAGACGAGCTGGGGACACTGGTGGCCAGAGTGATGAGAGACCCCCCTCCACACCCACCTGTGGGCACGAAGATGTTGGCCACGATGACCAGCCCGGCCAGGAACAAGGTCACCATGAGCGAGAGCCGCCGGCCAACGTAGCTCAGGGACACGGTCACCACCACCTTGGCCGGGAAGTCAACGGCGCCGAAAATCACCTGGATGAGGTAAATGCTGACCCCGAAGTTCTGCAGGTCCATGGCCAGGCCGTAGTAGGAGAAACTGATGGAGAACCTGGAGCGAGGTGGGAGAGGGGGGACCTTGAGGTGACATCACCTTGCTGGGACAGGACGGGATGGGGATGGCAGGTGGGGAGGAGAGGGTTGGATGGATGGGGTCATTGGTCGGGTGTCCAGGTGTCCATCCTTCCCTTTATGCATCTGTGAGCCTGACCAGCCATGTGTCCGTCCATCCATCCATCCATCCATCCATCCATCCATCATCCATCCATCCATCCATCCATCATCCATCAATCCATCCGTCCGCCCATCCGTCCATTTGTCCCTCCTCGCCCCCAGCCCCACCAGACGATGGACAGGCAGAAGAAGATGTGGCGGATCACGGGGGTCCGGACCAGGTCGGAGACGGTGTAGGAGGATTTCAGAGCTGCCAACTCCTCCTTCATGTTGGACTTCAACATCTGGGACAGAGGAAAGGGGAGAGGTTGGGGAGGGGGCTGGGGGTGGTCTCCAGCCCCCCATCCCCACCACGGGGCCACCAAACCTCCACCGTGATCTTCTCGCCCTCCTCCTTGCGGTTGTTGAAGGTGGCCACGCGCTGCAGGACCTTCACCGCCCGCTCGGCCTTGCCCGAGAGCACCAACCACCGCGCCGACTCCGCCAGCCACCTGCGGCCGGCCAGGGGAAACTGAGGCACGGCCGGCACGCCCCCCACCACATCCCCACGGCCTCCACGAGAGGCCCAAGGTCCTACCAGGAGTAGAGGAGGAAGACGAAGAAGGGCAGGGACACGGAGAGCTGGAGCCAGCGCCAGTGGGGGACGGCGTAGGCCACCCCGGCCAGGATGATCTGGCCCAGCGTGTAGGCAAAGCCGGTGATGGCCACGGTGATGGCGCGGTACGGTGTGGGGATCCACTCCACCACTGCCGGGGACACGGGGACACGGCTCACTCGGAGTGTCCCCACAGAGATGGGACCGTCCTGGTCAGTGCGGCCACCCCAGTGTGTCCACACCGTGTGACCACAGCATGGCCACTGGGATGTCCTCGCTCATGGACACCGGGATGTCCCCACCATGGCCATTGGGTTGTCCCACCCGTGGTCACTGGGATGTCCCCATCCATGGCCATTGGGACATCCTTATCCATGGTTGTCCCCACCCCTGACCAGTGGGTTGTCCACTTCCATGGTCACTGTGTTGTCCCCATCCATGGCATGGCTATGTCCCCATTCATGGCCATTGCGTTGTCTACTTCCATGACTATTGGGCTGTCCCCACCAATGACCATTGGGTTGTCCCCACCAATGGCCACAGGGATGTCCCCACCCATGACCATTGGGACATTCTTATCCACGGTTGTCCCCACCAATGACCATTGGGTTGTCCACTTCCATGGTCATAGCATTGTCCCCGTCCATGGCCATGACCATTGCATTGTCCCCACCCATGACCATTGGGCTGTCCACCTCCATGACCACAAGGATGTCCCCACCAATGACCATTGGGCTGTCCCCATCCATGGCCATTGGCACATCCTTATCCATGGTTGTCCCCACCCATGACCATTGCATTGTCCCCCTCCACGGCCATGGCCATGTCCCCACCCCTGATCATTGGGTTGTCCACCTCCATGGCCACAGGGACGTCCCCACCCATGACCATTGGGTTGTCCCCCTCATGAGCATTGCATTGTCCCCCTCCATGTCCATGTCCCAGCCCTGCCCACAGGCAGTTCCCATCCATGGCCACAGGGTTGTCCCCACCCACGTCCCCACCCTGCCCAGGGCCGTCCCCGTGTCCCCTCACCCAGGCAGGCGATGCTGAGGCCGAAGCCGGACAGCGCCATCCCGCCGGCGAAGCGGAACGCGCAGTAGGAGGCGTAGTTGGGGGCGAAGGCCGTGCACGTGCCCATCACCCCCAGCTGCAGGTAGGACCACATCAACATGGCCTTGCGGCCAAACCTGCAACGGGAGCCACTGGGAGCACTGGGAGCCACTGGGATGGGCTGTGCAGAGCCCCACAGGGAAACTGAGGCATGGAGTGGGGGGGGGGCTGTGCTGCCTTTACCTGTCTGAGAGGCCCCCCAGGACCAGGGCGCCCACCAGGACCCCGGCCATGTAGATGGACTGGGCCATCTGCCGCAGCTGCCGGTAGGCACAGACCAGGTCCCACTGCGGGGACAGGGGGACGTCTGTCAGTCAGTGAGTCTGTCTGCATCTCCATCCATCCATCCATCCATCCATTGATCCATTGATC